ATGAAAAAGCCGGTAGCGGCATGTTTTCCCATAAACTGAACCATATAAATCTTAGTACTTTGTTTCGACTACCGAACCATTGCAGAGTCGAACCATGGCAAAAGTAATCGCAATTCACTACGCCATTACATGGGTCACTGGTAACAAGGTGTAAATATCGAAATCTTCTCAGACAGTCAAGCTGCGATAGAATCTCTGGTAACCGCTACAGCTACATCCTAAAAAGGTTGTCCCTAGATCTTTGGAAGTAAGCACACCTCAGGTAGTCGCAGAACAGACAAGCTTGCTAACCTAGGTGCACTGCTTTTGACATTCAATTCTCCAATATTGGTGTTCCACTAACAACAGCCATGCTAGTAATTAAACAAAAATATCTGAGTATAGTTGAACAAACTTGGTCAGATGAATCCTTCCAAACTGGACAAGAAATGTAACACGACTTATGAGGTTGGTTTACTTGCATTTGAATGGGGGAAGTTTGAATTTCGGTGTTGTTCGTACGCAGGCCTCTGCAGTCTTTTCGGAAATCCCTCTGTTCTGCATATGAACAACACTATTCGTGGTATCACAGTGCGCCATTATTTAAGCTCAACCTAACCCAACCTAACGTAATCTAACCTTAATATAAAATTTAATCGATATGAATAAAATGTTGTATATTTTCTTACATAAATATAAATACATTCTGCATCAAATTTCGTTTTTTCAATTTATATTGCATCTGTAGGATATAGTCACTATATAGAGTCACCAAAATTTACGTGTGCAAAGTTTCATTCCAATGGCTTCAAAACTCATTTAGAAATTTGGCATGAATGTTTTCTTTAATGCGCTATGCAGTACATATATATATACATATGTATATGTATGTTGACAAACTTATTACAACCTTTTTACACTTTTCTGTTTAAAGGATAAAAAAGTAAACCTTTTCTGAAATATTTGAAGCAAAATTATGTGTCACAAAATGTTATTTTTAAATATTATATGCAAACAGCTTGTATACAAAAAATCATAAATTTTTAATTAAATTTTTGAATTTCATTCTATAAAGAAAATATAATAACGGACTCCATTAAAAGTTGGCATGAACTAAATAAGTACTTGAATTATAAGGGATGTTTCAAAAATTCCGAATATTTTCCTCAACTAATTTCCCAAGGGACAAATTAGTGAAACCTCGAAAATAAGAAACCCAAACATTTCTGTTAAACAAGTTAACAACGATATATGATCACATTAGGTAATTTTTTATTGTAAAGAAAAATTTATAAAGATTAATCTCCAAATGACAAAATCTTTTTTAGTTGCCCAAAAGTATGGTATACTTGCAGCATTCCGCTCCGTACTGCGATAAGTATTATGCCCACAATTCATAATAATTCATGTACACACTTTTATTTGTTTTAGCTCACAATTATACACATAAAAATGAACATTTTATTACTACAGTTTTATACGAAGTCCACATTGTTGTACTTTAATCTCACGACTTTCGAACAAATTTAAGCAGGAAAGAGAAAATGTAAGTGCGAAGTCATGCTGAAGTCTCTTGGGGTCACTTTACTTGCTTTTCCATTAGACTTCAATGGACTCGGCACGGCTGGTTGTCACTAGTTAACATTCAGAGAATAGCATAAGCTTATTAAATGCGAAATCTTGAAAGTTAAATGAAAATACAACAATAAATAGAAACACAGTCTGTACACATTAAATATTAGAGAGATATTACATTACTACATTGTTTAATGTTTAAATTCGTTTTCGCATTTATTTTACGTGGATTTTAAAATATTTTTTTTACCTCAATTAAATATGTTATAAAAATTCTGGAAAGTATTGCATCTAACATTGGAAATACTTATATATACAGTCCTAGTCAAAAGCATTTCCACAACGAAAATCTTTGTGCATATTGCACTAAAACAGGTTTTTATTGTTGTTGTTGGAGGTATTCTTATTTATTTATTAAAGTTTTGACGTAAAATCGGCCATTAGCCAGTACTACAGCCAGAAGAGTTCTATTGTACCAATTTTACTATTGATTACACAAAGCACTTTAAAGCTTTGTGAACAAAGTCCAGAACTAAATCTAGAGAAGAGCGCTTAATTTGTTCTGGTGACACAAATTCCATATGAAACAACTTTTTTCTGTGCGTTATTAAAGCTGGATAGTCACAAAGAATGTGCATAGTAATTTCGTCATCTTCGAGCATAATCTGCATTCGGAATTAGCAGTTTTATCAGTGCTGTCGGCCATTACAGACGTGAATTGTCCTTGGCCGCACCGAGTAGCCTCGGTCAGTCAGCCCGATTAGTTGCTTGTTGGTAGTACTGGTCATCTGAAAATGCGGTGCTAATTTTACGAAAATACGGTGCTAATTTTACGAAAATGCGAACGTCCTCCTGCGACCATCGAATGAAACACCTTTCTAGTCTCAGTACTTTCTTCCATTCGCACGACATGACCAAGGCAGTGAAGCCTCTGAATTTTTATGTGCTTAACTATGTTAACAACGAACCTTTGTGAATGGCAGCGAACGATATTCACTATACTGTGCACTATATGCTGTTACATATAACGATGCGTAAAGAAATTACCTGAGTAAAGTCTTATGTGTAGTTATGCTCAACATATTAAGTATTTAAGAAATTTTGGGATTTCCAAAGGGTTGGCAATGAAAATATTTGCACGATCATAAAATTTTCTAGGAAAAACATTTTATAAAGTTCATTTTTTTATACTATGCGTTTCTATTTTATATCATGCTTTTGGCCCACAAAGTCAATTCTTTAAGCTGATCATCATTTATTACAAAATACAATTCCTTCAATTATGGAACCATTCTCTTTTTCAATCAAGTCGAAAATATCCCTAATTTTGCTGCTACTGTTTGGTTTTCTTTGCTGTTAATTATATTTAAGTATTTCTGAGTCCCTTGTATAAGCACTTATAATTAAAACATAAACTATATACATTGTGACCGAAAAGTTTCCGGTCACAATGTACAAACGCAAAATTCTTAATCTTCATCAATATTTATTTTATCTCCTTCAAAATATGCTCCATTAGAAGCGATACACAAATGCCAACGTTTCTTCCAATCATCAAAACATTTTTTATAGGCGCTTTCCGGTATGGCTTTGAGTTCCCTCTGCGAATTCTGTTTTACGTCTTCTATGGATTCAAAACGCGTTCCTCTGAGTGGTAATTTGAGTTTGGGAAACAGGAAAAAGTCACACGGTGCAAGATCAGGTGAATACGGTGGCTGTTTCGATGGTATTTATTGAATGTTTGGCCTTAAAATCGTTGATAATGTTGGCTCGGTGCGAGGGAGCATTATCGTCATGAAAAATCCATGAATTATCCTTCCACAATTGAGGCCGTTTACGGCGGATAGCTCTCACGACCGATGCCTAGCTCTCGTGCTATCTCTCTAACACTCACATGAGGATTTTGGAACACGATTTCCTTTGCCTTTTCAATGTTTTCGTCGGTGGTAGAGGCCGAAGGTCGTCCAGAACGCGGCATGTCTTCGACGGTCGTACGACCGTCCTGAAAGGCTTTGTACCACTCATAAACTTGAGTTTTCGATAAAACTGATTACCCATAAGCCTTTTGTAGCATTCGCAACGATTCTGCACACGAAATTTCGTTCGAAACACAAAATTGGATGCAAACTCTTTGTTCAATATTTTTTTCCATTGTTTTTTCGCAACGCACTACTGAGGGGAACTGGTTTCAACAGCTGCCGTAAACGAACTGTCTGACAGATCGCGCTCATTTTTGGCATAGTAATTAAGGACAGTGCTGCCAAACTACATAAACTTAAAATATCGAAAAATATACAGCGCGCGAATTTTAAATGAGAACTTCCGAAAACCTTTCGGTCACAATGTAAATAGAATGATTTTTATGTAGGTCATTTACATAATAGGACTTTACATTTTCAGGATTTTCATAGCGAAATCAAACAAGAACTATATTGTTTACCACACTAAAATTGCATGGAATAGTGAAGAGCAATAAAGTGTTGCATAATGCAGGACAACACAATAAGATGTACGAGCCTAAACACTGCTATAATTAACGAACGCAAAGCCGGACATTGACCGACTCGCACTTGGTGTGAGCAAGCAAACATACATACAATATGAGCCATTCGTTGTACATCTCTGATATATGCCTTACGCCACAAACACTCCCAATACCTATTACTTTACCTCGATGAGTGGAACACTGATCCCTCCCTCCTCTCTCTCTCTCTCTTTAACCGCGGCTCTCGTGACCCCGGTTACAGAGACTACCGCTAGAATCCCCGCGCTTGTGCAATAACCTCACCCCTTCACCAACACCCAATTTTCCTGCCTTATGCCCGTGTTTTTTGGCTTAGATGAACCTAGTCCGCTAGGTATTAAGCCTCTTGCTCTAATCTCTCTCACTCTCTTGATTACTGGAATGGTGTTGTATCCGCTGCACGCGGCTGCAATCTTACATATTCATTCCTAAAAGGAGATTGTAGAGGGTTCAAGTCTCACAAAAAAAAAAAAAATTTCTGATACATACTTCAAATTCTTGGTTTATATTTTTTTGAAATACTTATATTTGTGTAGCGAAGCACTAGGTGGATTACATTGTTTGGGGTGTACATAAAACAGAACAAAATCCATATCAGATGAGACAATGAAAAATCCAAATTTTGTTATTTCATTTCTCATTTATTCACTATTATATTCACTATTATTTTAATGATAGTTTTTCAATATTAATAAAACTATATCCTTCGAAAAAATCGTTCAATACACTTCAATCAATATATGCCTATTTTTAAATTATATGTTGCAATGTACATTTATATTTACAAAATATATAAAATGTGACTATAATATATGATGATTTAATAACTTTTTATCATGAAACACAGACAACTTTTAAAAATACGTATCTTTAAAAAATCAGAGTAATTTTAAAAATATTATAAAATTATATAAATTGCTATATATATATAGAAAATTGTGAACTTAAATAGGTGCATATATTAAATGAAAAAAATTTATATGTAACATAACTTTTTATCTTGTGTGAGTAATTAGTCAATCTTTTTGTTGTCACATTCAGTATCATTGGCTTTTGAATCCATTTCTGAACTGGCAATTTCATTATTTTTATCAGTCCTGGCATTTTGAGTTTTAATATCATTTTCACTCATACTATTCTGTTGATTAAAAATAAAAAAATCAGTCGTTAATAATAATTATTTATATATTTCTGTATATTTTTACCCTCATCATTTTACGAAGTTTCATTGATTTTCCCATGCTTTGTAGGCGGTAACGTTCTTTTGCACGTTCACGTATTTTTTGAGGCACGACTAATAAGGTAGTCATTATATTTCCAGTGAAAAGCAACAAAAAGAGGCCACACATAACAGAAACCTGAAGTAGGATGAAATAAATTAGCTTTTGAATAAGAGTAACAGTGTTCTTGCATACATGCCACGGTGCATCAATTGGTTCTTTAGATAACTTATATAGAGTGTATGCATTGTAAGCTTGGAAAGCATAACCAAGGAAAAGAAATGGTATAAGAAAACTTAAACCACGCCACATCCATGAATGAAATCCTTCTATGGTAATGTCCATATTGTGCCGTTCTCCCAATGCCTTCAAACGATACAATAGACCTTTCTGGTAACCGAATTGTAAATACTGAACCATGCCTGTAAAACACGCAATATAATATTGCAAAATACGTACCTATATCACACCTACTCATACTTTTTATGAGTATATACTTACTAATATATGCGTTGAAGTACATAAATTGTGTGCGGAACAATTGCCAATGTTCTCCTTGTGGCCAAACAAGTAAAACACCTGCCGCTACTGTAGAAATGAAATGATGCGCTCGCCACCAACCTTTTATTCTTGATCCATTTACTTTTAAAATTGATTCTCTTATAGTCAAAGTACAATAATACCATACCAAAAGGAAAATATATGCCAACTCAAGTGCCCTAAAGTGTTATCAATATTTTTGAAATATATATTAAATATGTGATTATATTTATTATATTAATTAAGCTTATTAAAAATTTAGCAATTTTAATATTATTTAAAAACCATTTACTTATTCTATACAAATGCTTTGACTGCTAAACACATTTTCCACGCACCGTTAGCGTTTGGATTATTGATTGTTCAATTTCAATCATTAGTTTCAGGCCTTCTAAATTCTTTTAGGAAGGTTTATGTAGTGAGAGTTTGAATTCAACACAGATATTTTAAAAAACTTTCTATCTCAGTCAAAAATACATTTGAAAGACAAATTAAAAACATGAAGAACTATTCCGTTTAATTCCTTGATTCCTTGAGAATGCTTATAGACAACTATATTTCTAATAAAAACGACATTTTGATTTGTTTTTATTGAATATATTAATTGTTATTTAGCATAATTTTGATAACGTCTTAAAATTGCTCAGAATCTTCAGGCTAGTAAAAATAATACTTTTCTTAAACAAATTAAAATGATTTAAACAAAATGGATGCTACTTTTACATGATTGATATGTGGTGTCATCGCGACAATTCACTTATAAATTTAATTTTTTATTTCTATCTCCTAAAACGAAGGTGCCTAATATTTACAAAATAACGGCACAAATATTCTTTAGATTACCATATCTTAACTTACATATATTTTACGGAATCAATGATATAGATTTATCTTACCTGTAGTTAAATATTAAATTAAGGAATGCCATCAACAGTCCTATTACGTTGAGTATTAGTTTAAACTTTTCGTAGTCATCTTTATAGCGTACTTTGTCATTTCTGTTTAGAATAGATACATTAACATCACCAAGAATAATCTGTAATTTCATAAAAGCTTTTAAACATATTCCAGTGGCTATAAGTAAATTTAAAATAGGGGTCTATGGTACTAAAGTAAATTAATGTTAGTTATTTTTTTAACTAACAAAATTACTGAGAATTATTCTCTCTTCTTTAACTTCAATTATTTTAAATATTTATATTTATTCACACAGTCGTACATAAATTGTGTTAATATGTAGCTACCTTAATATAGTTCTAATGTATTAATTTGATATATTTTAAAATTTTCATTTAACAATAAATTTATCCTATAAAAACTTAATATAATAAATAATATAAAATGACATGCTTGCATTGCTCGAGAAGATTGCTAACAAAATTTAATGAAAAAAAAACACGTTAATTTTTTATTATTTTATTGGATATACTTCATTTTAATATGTTAAAGCCTAGTAGGTAGCATCAGATAAGTAAAGATAGAATGAAAAACGTCTTTGACGTTTATATCTTTCGTATATTGAAAGCTATGACTTTCAATATACGGCGCAACATTGATAACACAGATCAATATTGTTCATTTTTGAAAGTAGAACTATTAAATTAAAAAAAAAAATTTCTTTGAGAACTAAACGTCAAAACAAAAAGAAAAACTGATTTGAAATTATTTAGAAATGATTTTTTTATTCTAAGAACTCTTTGTGCTGAATAAAGAAACGATTTTTCTTATATTGTACTTACTCTTAAATAAAGTCCAGATTTTGCAGGAAGAGATTGCTCTATTTCATATAGTTGAGCTTTCCTCTTTAATGTATTTTTTTGAAGTTCGGAAACTCTTTCTTTTTCTTCAGGTTTTTTGAATCTTAAGAAAGCCAGTCAAAAGAAAATTATTTATTATAATTATTTTAAAATGTACACAATAAATTCATATATTAAAAAGCATATCCATACATAATATAAGACTTTTGTTTTATGGTAAATACCATGCGCTTTTCAATAATGTTTTTGGGTTTCTGATTAAATTGATTTACTTGCTTATTGAGTTATTTTATAATCCTAAAATCAAAAATATACGATTGTAATTAATAAGTTAAACTTAATTTTGTAACTTAATTCTATTATTTTTTTTTTTAATTTTGTTATCCAAAATATTTTATTCTTTTATTTGTGACCAATAATATAATATAATAATTTATTAGCGGGCTAATTGATCATTTAAATAGAAATAAAAATACTATAATTTATTTTTATATTTTAAAACAGATTAAATTTTATTAAAATATTTTTCTGATATTTCGACTATCTTCGATAGTCATCTCTTTTTAAATATAAATAATAAATTATAGTTAGCGGACTACTAATAAATTATTATATAAATATCATATACCATACTAATTATTCTTATTGCGATCTTATTTTATAAGAATAATCAGACTTATTAAAATAAGGTTCTACTGTGTGTCGTTTTTCATTTAGTTTTATACTATTTCTAATAGAGAATATCAACAGAAAAAAGGATAATTTAAATTACTAAATAAAAATACAGTTCCACATACATTAAATAACATTCATCATTACTGGACTTATCTAGAGAAAAACAAAATAGTAGAAATAGAATTGTCTCTCAAATTATAAATCAAATATATGTACGTATTTTTAAATAGATTAGATTGAACAGATACTGTAGAAAACGATACAATGTACACATCCTTTCTATTTTTAAATATTCTTAATCGCATTGATTTTAAATCTTAATCTCATTGACTCTAAGTACAGATAAAGAAAAACACTTAAAAGAGTTTTAAAATATCGATTTAGTTTTAACCATAATTTTAAAATATATGGTTTTACAAAGATATTTATATCTGTTGAAGAATAATTTGGATGTATTACGTATAATCGGCATATACATATATATATACATATATATATATTTGTAAAGTAAATTAATTCAAATTCATATGCAAAAGTTCATATGAAGAACACTTATTCCTGAAATTATTAAGCAAATGTACAAAAGTTAAAGTACATTTTTAACGTAAATATTTTTTGATAAGGAAAACGCAAAGAGTTAAATTACCTTAAAAATTATATAGATATTTCATTTCGTTTTTGTAAATTGATAAAAAAAAACAACTGATTAGCAGTGGTAATGACAGCAACAATTTATGTATAGGTTCGGTATCTATGCTGACCAGAAATAAACAATTTATCAACGAGTGTTAACAATTTTATCCATTAGATTGCAGTTTTTTATTGAATTTGAACTTTTGTACTTTGTAATAAAAAAGGTATGAAATAAAGCGAATTACAAAATAAGAATTACAAAATAAGAAATTAAAGAAAATAAAAGTCCAAATTTGAAAATCAACACTACTTACTGTTTCAAAGATGCATTTATTTGGTTTATTCGATAACGTTGATGTTTAATTTCATTAAAGCATTTCTGTTGATGACTATATAATTGTTCCAATAACTCAATATATTTACGATTGCAGTTCTGAAAATAAGAAGTATAGATTATGAATAGATTATATGAATATGTTTTACTAATCACTCTCACTAGTGAAAAATGTTTAATACAAATTTATTATTTGTGCTTTATTAGAAAAATAGTTAAAATAAATATCGTAATTTTACACTTCCATAGTTTACTATAGCTGTTGTATTACCTCAAGCTCCACGAACTCCTTGCCAAGCTCGTCCCACTCATTGCTGAGTGCGTCAATACTCATTCTACTTTTAATTACTTTATTAAAAACGAAAGCAATTAATTATGAATATTTAAAAATGGTATAATTTGTTTAAAGCAATTTGTATTTTATATACGCGTTTATTGAAAATGAAAAAATCAATTTTTACACAAAACGAACCTTACGCGCACAAAATTTGGAAGTAGGTATAACTATATTTTCTTGATGTTCACTTGTTGCTTAATTGATGGCGATTAGTTTTACCATTTTATAGAACGAATAGCGTAACAACAATATGATTAAAGTTTTAAAAAAGCTTTAAAATTTTCCCTTGTTTGCTGACACTGCCACGTTTTTATCAAATAATTTTATAAGACAACTTTGACTTCATAACAACAGTGTGTTGTTTAAATTACCCAGATGATATCAAATATCATAATAGTGTTAAATCGGTGTTAGATTTCTTTCTACTACATTATACTAATTCTTAAAGAATTTCATTAACGTCACAAACACAACGCGCGTTTCATTTGTTTTTTATATACAATACAATTTGTCAAACTCCTCTTCTTTTGAAATTCACAATTCACAATAGAGCCTGTGATTATAAAATAATTTAACATTTATACATATATATATGTTATTTTCTAAATACTATTATTGCGGATATGTACATCATATTAACATTTCAGTTTCCGAATTAATTGAAAAAATTATAGATACGTTTTGTGAAGGAAGATGAATATTTATGATTACATAATATTAGCCGTTATTTTTTCTTTCAGAAAAGCAAAAAAATACTCAAAAGTGAAGCAACAACAATGCTCTTAAAATCTACAGACTTAGGTTTTAGTGGTAAAAAAATTTTGCGTCTTAAGTTTTAGTGCAGCCAAATTCAAAAGAGAGTATATTGTGAGTGTTCATTGGAAATATGTTGCAAATTTTCATCCTTCCGTTAAAATCATGTGAGCATTTCATTTACTAATAAACTCATATACATAAATAAATTAAATAAAAAATATAAGCTAGAAATGCTAACCATTGCGGTTCTAATATTTATTTTGCTTTCTTTTAATTAAATTAATAAATTTTTAATGTTTACAATTTTATATTTCATATTGTACACAACACAATAAAAATCATAAATATGACAAAAACAAGTATTTCAAATATTAGACCTTTTCGGTGGCTCGCAAGTACGGCAAAAAATGCATGTTGGCCTATGTTGGCCACGCGAGTTATTGGCATCACTATTGCAATCTGTCAAATGTTTTGTTTTGACAAACAGCAAATCTTGTATATGTGCATATAAATCAAATATATTTTTATAAAAATATTATAAAATTAAAATGAACAAGGAATTAAAAGGAATGGTAAGAATATTGGAAATTTAAAAATAAAACACTAAGATAAGTAAATTTTTGTAGGTACTGACGATGTTGGGAGAAGAAAGCAACGTTTTACTTGCGTGTATTTCTAAAAAAAATTTTTTACGCATGTAAACTACAAATTAAATGAAATAAAATAAATGTTACTTGGTAATAATTAACATAATAAAAAATTTAATGTGCTTAATACTTACGATTTCTTCATTCTTATTATTTCTTCGTTACTTTTCAAGATTTTTTAAATTTTTGAATTCTGTTTGAATTTTTATTTCCTCAATTTTTGACATTTGATTGCACTATTCGTTAGAATTTTTAATGAAGGTTCACAATAGTTCGCTTATTGCGTTGGTAACATTTTTTTTTTTACTGGCCGATGTGGTTGGCCAGCATAACTATGCTGGCCGAGGTAGAGAAAATAGTGTTGTTGTTTTGTGTACATTGCGGCCAGTATAGGCCTGCATAAGCCAGCAACTTGCTGTTTTTTGCCGTACTTGCGAGCCACCGAAAAGGCCTATTCTGAAATTGATGGCAATTTGTTTCAACCAGACTTAAATTTGTTTTTTACAACTCTGAAAGAAAATATTATGGCTATAATTTAACCATAGTATAAGTAATTGTAAATTATATTTTAACTTTGGTTATTTAATTTTTGTTTCTTTTATATGTATTAAGAAATAATCACAATATCGCTACACGAGAGTAATATTTAGAATTATGACTTGATTTCGTATAAATTATAATTTAATTGCAATTTTGTTAGGTAATAATAACTTGGTCACTACTATTTAATCGCTTTTGAACTGTTCTCGTACGAGAGCGATGTAGATAGATATCAATCATATGACAGAAAATCTATATCCACTCGCAAATCTTTATAAATAAAAATAAACAAAAGATAAATATTTTTTGATTAAAGTCAACAATTTTTTTAATATATTAAGCGATTAGTAGAATAAAATATAAACATTGCTAAAATTTAATTAAATTTGTTTTTACAATAAATTTGGTGCTTAATTTTTGGAATTAATGTAATTAAATCGTATGTAAGTTTATTTTAATATTATAGGTAGTAGGTTTTATTCTTTGCGTCTTGTTCGTAATTTTAAAGCAGCATACGCAGATATCCTAAATATAATAATAAGCGCTATTAATCCCATATAATCGTATATAAAATCATTTATCGAAAAGTTTAGTGTTTCTAATATAACTTTTCCAGAACTGGGGCAAGTTGTATTCGATGAGGTACATGTAATTTCACCAGCTTCTACATCAGACCACTGATTAATTAGAAGCCCTTCATTTGCATAACGAAACCATGATAGATATGATAACCATTTGAAGTATATTGGCACTGAAGCAGAATTTAAAAAAAATCCACCAAAGAGAAGAAATGGGATAATTACTGGAGGTCCGATGGATAATGCCATTGATGTTGATGAACTGCCACAGGATATTAAATAGCCAAAACTAGTTGAAACATTTGCAACAAGAGTAACTAATGCTAGAGCATGTAGATAATGAAAGATACCAGCACGTAATCCTATCATTGGATAAGCAATAGATGTGAAAACAAATGGTACAGTTAAAAAAAGTGGTAGCTCAGCAATAGTTTTTCCAAGAAAATATGTACTACATCTGTAAAGGCGACTTCGCGCTTCCCGCATAAAAACTGGTAATTCTGATGTAAATACCTTAATTTAAGAAACTATTTAATGTTATACTATTATTAAATTTATCTTATCAATTACCGTGATAGTAGCAAAAACATTTTGAAATGTCATATTTGTTAAAAATAAAAAAATCGCTCCATTTATATTCATTACACCCACTTGTGTCAATTGCTGACCTAGAAATATCAGACCTATAAGAACAGCTACCATCTGTAATGCAGTAGATTATAAATGTTTTTGGAAATGTTAAATGATATTTTATATATGCTTACTGTTGTTTGTATAAGACGAACTTTAACCAATAGAGGCTCTTTTAGAACGGATATCCAGGAACGCCAAAGTATGGCTCTAAATTGCATAAAACAAGATGCCTTATATGTAAAATCATTTCCATTAATAATCGGTTGGCCATTTGATTCAGCAGCCATTTTTTTAAAGCTCTGCTCCATACCACGGGACACTCTATAGTAAAAAAAAATATTAAAACCAATAAGAAGTTTTCTTTAGTGTTCTTGATTATAATTTTTATAAATAAAGTACTATATTTTTAAAATATTTGCATTATATTTGATAATATTGGAAAACCTTGCATATAAATATTTTGGCGTTATGATTTTAAATTTACCTTCCTACTGCAAAGTTATCGCAAATTTTTACAATACGTTCACGTGATTCCTGTTCTTTTCCGGGTACAACTGCCAAAATTTGGACATAGAAATCTGCAGGATTATAGTTTGCAGGACACTGTGCGCCAATACTAAAAATTGCGAATATTAAGCTCTTTTCAAAATTGCATTTTTTTGGAGCATACTATGAAAAAAAATCAACTGCCTCTAAAGGAGTGCCCAGAAAGGCTACTCTTCCTTCAGCCATAAGCAATATTTTATCAAAAAGTTCGAACAACTCTGATGATGGTTGATGGATTGTCAATATAACAGTCTTTCCTTTTTCCGAAAGCTTTTTCAAAACCTGCACAACACTGTGTGCCATGAAAGAATCAAGACCTGAAGTGGGTTCATCACATATAAGCAGTGGAGGATCTGTTAGTGCTTCAGACGCGAATGCTAGGCGCTTACGTTCGCCACCCGACAATCCTTTCACACGACCAGGTACGCCAATAATAGTGTTTTGGCATTTACCTAATGAGAGATCTTGTATTACCTGATCGACACGCTCTACTTTCTGGCGGTATGTTAAAGTTCCAGGCATTCGTACCATAGCATGAAATATTAGGTGTTCTCTGGCTGTTAAAGACCCTATGAATAAATCATCCTGCTGCACATAAGCACAACGAGTTTGCATTTCTTTAGCATCTACCAAATGCCCATTTAGCATTCGCATGGCTGAAGTTGATATTTGAACACCTTGTGAAGAGCGAAAGGCCAACGAATTGAGCAACGTTGTTTTTCCAGCTCCAGAACTTCCCATTATTGCCAACAATTCACCAGGATAAGCAACCCCACTTACTTTAGATAAAAAATAAATATTATTAGACCTGAACATTTTATTTTTAATTTTACCATTCTTCAATAAGTGCTTTCTGGGCGCGGGTATGTGACGTTCTTTACATATGGATACTTTAATTCGATTTGCCATTTGTTTCCATGTTGATCCTGGCAAATGAATGGCTCCAAATACATCAAGGTTATACCAAGAGTAAGTTAAATTATCAGAAACGTTCGTATTAGGAACCACTGTTCCATAGCTTTTATTAAAGTCCTTATTAAGTGAGGATTGCTCAAAGGAGCCAGAATTCTGTTTGATATTAAAACAAAAAGGATTTATTCTTTTCTACTCGATTGCATAATTTAATATTTCATATTGAAAGTTAAAAATTCAAAGGCTTAAGATCTAAACTACTCGTTTCTTAAGGAAATTAACCGATTGGTGAGAAATTGTCATCTACAAGAGATTTTTCAGGGCCAATATACTTTGTGTAGCTATTATTGAAGTTCATTAAAAACGAGATTCCTCTTCCTATTAGATGTCATACTGTATAATAAATGATTCATAAAAACGTATTGTTTAAGATTAAGATACAGAATATATCTATGCTCAATTGGTGTTTTTGCTTTAAGATTGCTTGAAATTTTTGTGAATTATAGCTACCACTAACATCTAATTTACTATATTTATTAAAAAAACGATGGAAACACTATGAATGTATTTCTAGTTTATAAGGAAATGTATACAGAATTCTTAAATAAACTCAAATTACGAATAACATTATATTTTATGAAAAAGCTAAATACCGTATATATTAGTGAAATTTGAATATATGTGTGTGATTTCTTCTTATTTACTTTTTTCATTTAACGGATATTAAATTATTTTACTTTGTTAATTTTTTATTACAAAGAAGGGATTTAAAGGGACATTAGGACCGCCCACTTTTTGAAACGTTTTTATGGTTATTTTACATTATATTTCATCTATAAAAGTGGCTAAAGATAATTTTAAAATATTTTTTATTACATTTCTTGAATATTTGTTGTTTGATATTTACTCAATCAATGTTCTTTGGTTTTTATTTAAATTTGTTTTTCTTACTTAATCCAATGCAGTTAAATTTAAAAATTATATCTCTTTTCAGCAACAATCTTATTTGCTTAATATAGTCAATCAATATCTTTCAATATCAATATCTAAATTTCACGTTCCTAAATTCCAAACATAGCCAATTCGATGTGACTGAACGATCCATCAAAAGCATAAATGGTATTTCTGAATTATCTTTTATGTAGTAAATTAGTAGTTAGTAGTATTGAATTGTATATATATATATATATACATATATATGTATACATTATTATGTATTAAGTAATATATACACATAAATGTAAGTTACCACTTACAATATTAAGACTTTCTGCAGATGTTTTCGATTTATCGCTTCGTATTAAAAGTTCTTGATCCTCTTGGCCCATATCTACTATTTTTAGATAAGTAAAATGTTCTTAAAAAGTCTGTGACAAAACACGTTATTTTTTAAAATTTCACACGTTCAGTTAGTTGTATTTAAAAAAATTAAATATATTTTTATAACATATGCTATAAAATAACTATTTTTGCTTGTATGAAGTAAGTATTTCAAGTACATTAAACCAATTTAAAACAAAACTTAAACCGCTCCGATATAGTATTTAACACATGCAAGTACAACAACTTACTAATTATATTTTCCAACTACCTTAATGCACCCACTCTTTTATCTTTATAGGCTTATATGAGTACACCATAATCAAGCAACGAGTGCTTTAATTTAGTTACACTCATCACTGTATATTATGAAGAATACATATGTATATGCAAATATTTGAATTTTGATTAAGCACAAATAAACTTTAAATTTAGTAAACCTTGTTAACAAAAAAATGTTTAATATCAGTATTATATATACAGTTTCCTTATTTATGCTTAGCTGCAAGCAATGGCCCCCATATCCAAATCTTT